GAATGTTCGGACATTGTCCGATAGTCACATAGTGTGTGGCATAAATTTGGAAATGCAATTTTTTTCACACGTCCAGATATACATGGCGTCCTCTCTAGTTGGAAACCCATCTTTTCGGTGCATCGGAACAGAAACCAAGAAATGATTTTTATCAAGTTGCGTTACATTGAAGAAAAAATTAAATGATAAATTCAACTTTMTTTTTATTTCAAAACACATAATTACACSCACGGCAACGGGTACGGGATCAGCTAGTTATAAATATTTTTGATAATTTATTTCTGAATCTTTAAGTTTTGCATTTTCYATACCACCCCTAAGGTTACCGACTTTTTTTAGGTGTTCCCCGGTAGGCCTATTTTTACCTTTACAACTTAAAATAGACATAATTAATAATTTACATAAAAATTGAAATAAAAAAAGTGCGAGTGAGTTTACATTTTATAAATTTATTATGCACATTTTATAAAGCAAAGTATAAATGAAGGAATTTTGACTCGGAAAGTAGTTCTGTTCAGCTATCATTTCCAATTTCTCCTTTTTCCGCTCTGCTTTCTTTCGGGTTCGGTATTCACGATAATATTGTGCTATTTTCTCTCCTCTTGAAACGCGGGTTGCACTGTCTTTTTCCGCTGTAAAATTAAAACATTAAAATTTTTGGCAATCCAATTGATATTAGTTTCAAGAGCACAAGTTTAATGCACAAGGTGCATCTATTACAGACCATTGAAATATTCAAGAGGAACTTACCATCACATAACCTGGAATCCGCCGTTCAACCAAAAATCACACACAATAGTTGAGAATTCGCAGAAATTATCACTGCCACTTTTTATATTGTTTATTTGAATCACTATTCATTGTGAAGTCTTCACTTTTCAACGGCTAACGCAGCCGTTCAACCAAAAATTACACAAAATAGTTGAGAATTCGCAGAAATTATCCTGGAAAGAGAATTTGCAGAACATTGATCGGAGGTCCAGCCGTYATTATTCTATCAACACGCGTTGAAGGTCCAGCAGTTATTGGTGAGTTGACGACCGTTGATTCATCAGTAGTTATAGATGCAGATGTTGAATCTTTTTTACGCGCACTCTGATGTTCCGCAGCTGTTTTCCTCTTCCCCAATTGACTGCCAGCTATCATTTCCAATTTCTCCTTTTCCTGCTTTGCTTTTTTTCGTGCTGTTTTCCCTCCTATTGAAACACGGGCTGTAAAATATACATAAAATATACAAAACATAAAAATTTGTGCCAATCCAATTGATATTAGTTTCAAGAGCACAAGTTTAATGCACAAGATGCATCTATTACGGACAATTGAAATATTCAAGAGAAACTTACCATCACATAACCTGGAATCCGCCGTGTTATKCGTATTATCACTGTCATTTATTTTATCAACATTGATCGGAGGTCCAGCCGTCATTATTCCATCAACACGCGTTGAAGGCCTAGCAGTTATCGGTGATATAAATGAAGACTGGCTACAGAAAGGATCCTGTGAAGTATAGTCTTAACTTTTCAAACGGCCAACGCAGAGCAGAGTGAAACACAAACGAAAGAAAAGAAAAAAACGAAAGAAAAATAATGCGCAAGCATACAAACATACATATGCATACTGTAATTATTTATTTGTAAAAACATTGGAATTTATTCATTAAATCGCCACTCAGAAGTCGTTTTATCCATTGTAACCGAGCGATCACCAAAGAAACATCATTTCTAATATGCTACAATACAAAATTAGAAATGAAGTTCATAAACCTCACGCTTAGTGTTGGGGACTATCGAATAAAAACAATCAAGTTATTCGATAGTTCAGCAATTTTCATTCATTCGATAGTTTTCAAGAAATTACTCATAACCATTTCGTCGTTCATTCGAATTTTTCGTCAAAACGAATATTTTGTTCGCTACTAATTTTTCGTTCATTACTATGTTTTCGTTCATACCAATATTTCGTTCAAAACGAATATTTTGTTCGCTACTAATTTTTCGTTCATTACTATTTTTTCATTCATTATTATTTTTTCGCTATTGAATGATTTTTCGAATGAATGATTTTATGCAAGTAGAYATCTAGCAAAGATTTTTTGTACGAATTCATTCATGCTATGTATACATTCACATCAATAGCATCAATAGTAAAACATTTGAATTGGGTCGCAACTTATATAAATATTGGTATTAGATTTTAAATTGCAGTGTTTTCTGTGGTAATATAAAATGTATTTATGTATTTTGTAAAGAAAATGCTGAAAATGTTTTTATACATAATTAGATAATACAAAAATACGCCCTGGATTAAAGAGATCAGCCGTGTGGGAGTTTTTTACTAAAAATGGTAATAACGTCAACTGCAATATTTGTAAAAAAAATTTAAAGTTTGCTGGTAACACATCAAATATGAACGATCACCTA